TTAGTTTGCATGTGTTACTTTGGCCACTTGTACAACGCATACATGTGTCTGTATGTGTAAACAGTGTGTGATCTGGCAGGAAAAGGAGCAAATGTGATCCTGGACTGCGTTGGTGGGAGTAACTGGGAGAAAAATGTGAGTTCCCTGGCCGTGGATGGCAGATGGGTGCTGTACGGCACCATGGGAGGCAGGACGGTGGAGGGAGACCTGCTGGGAAAGCTGCTGTCCAAGCGAGGCCACCTCCTTTGCAGCCTCCTGCGCTCTCGCAGCCTTCAGGTGAGAATTCACTTTGAAAAACCTCTCATCAGCTGTTGCTTCTGGTCTGTGTGTTGTAATGAAACTTATTGTGCAAACGTGACTGTATTGTTCCTCCTGATTTTCCAAAATTTGCCAATTCCAGTTTTATGCTTGACAGGGCTCTTGTGTAATAGTCTTTTATTGGGCCTGATTGCTTCTCCATGCCTTCGTTTTCTTCTCAGTATAAAGCAGAGCTGATTCAGGCTTTTGAGGAAAGGGTGTTGCCATATTTCTCAGGGCAGGCTGCCACCCTGAGGCCAGTGATCGACAGCAGATTTAAAATGGAGGACGTTGCAGAGGCTCATAGACACATGGAAGCAAACAGAAACATGGGCAAGATTATTATCAATGTGACTCTGAGTGAGGAAAAACTCCACCATTAATACCTACTGATGTGATGCACCTTGAAAATGTTGATTTCCCTTAACTCAGAAAATGTTTTCTTGTTTTTCATATTGACTCAGTAATAAAATGGTCTGAATGTGATTTTTTTTTTTTTGATGAGCAGTGTTTTTTCTGTTAAGGATGATTACCCAATATGTATTGTTACAGCAAAAGAAAAAATAATATTTCTTATTGCTTGTAAAAAAAAACAGTTAAAAATGCTTGATTTATGAAATGGAAAAAGAAAAATTAATAAATTCCAAACAGGAAACACTAAATACAAACTGTGGCATGTATAATTTTAGCTTAATTTGAAGATAAAAGCTGCAACGCTATTGTGGAAAGCTGGGTCTTTGGCATTAACAACCTTAAGGAAAGACATTTAATTTAAAAGGAGCAGATGGAGGAATCTGTGCAGCAGATTCATTCTAGTGAATGAATGTCTATGAAGTCACAATAATCTGTATTAACATTGAAGTACCATAGACAAAGATTCTCTTTCCCACATCATTTATCAAGATAAAAGAAACTATTTTAACAAACCAAACCAATGAGAAAATTCACTATTTAAATATAATAACATAGCTTTGATTAATCTTCATTCTAAGTGTCCACTCTTAGGTCTAATTAGTGGCAGTGATTCAACTAAGCAAATAGGTACGAGCCTCCTATTGGATAATTACTGCATGGGCATTTATCTTTCAGCTGGCAACAAGTTATTTAACCCCAACTGACTTGCTTCTCATTTCCTAAACAACCATGTCAAAAGACACATCCGTGGTCGTAGAAAATATGTTAGTCTGCTTGAGAAGGGTCAAATCATTGGCCT